ATATTCCCTGCTGTGCGCTACCATCCTTGCCAAACAAAGCAATCGAACATGCACGTCGCGGCTAAATCTGGATCGTGCGCGGCCATCCCGCGATCGCTGTCCAGTGGTTTTTGACAGGGACGGCGGGGGTGGTGGCGCGTGGCCTGCTGCGCACATGCCCACCACACACAATGATGGGCATCGGCTTTCGCCAAGGATGGCGGGGGCCAACATGTTTCCCGATGTGTGCTGTCACGTGCGCGGGCGCACCTGACGCACTCTGCACTTGCCCCGAACGCGGCGCGTCTGGCGCGGCTGGAATGTGCGGCGCGCCAAGCGCACTCGGAGCACGTGGCGCGTCTGGTGCATCAGGCGTGCCTGGCACGCCCGGGTCCCTATGAATGCCTGGCGCGCGTGGCGCCTCTGGCACGCGTGGCGCACCGCGTCCAAGCATCGCGCATCTGGGGTCGGCTTTAGTCCCCGGTATCTGTCAACCAACGACGACCGCTGAACATGCTCAGGCTCGGGTGATCCTTATGTGTAGGGAGGGAGGGTGACCCCCCGTCCTACGGGCCAAAAAAACACAGCAACGTCGACGTTTTTCTTGCCAACATGTACTTTCTCCTCGTCGACGCTGCGAATCGCGGAGCGGGAATGGGACGCCCCGCGAATTCCCAATAGGCATTTGCCTCTTCCTCCTCAATTTATCCTTCCCTCCTTTTCTCCCTCCCTACCTCCTCCTCCTCCCCCTCGTCCATGCGCGGCAGGAGCGAAACGATTGGCGGTGCAACGCGCGTGGCATGAAACGCGGCGCAGTTCGCGCGCTGGACATGTTGTCGCCGACGATGCAACATGAGAGGCCGGAGAGGGGCGCGGCGTACATCGCGCGCGGTTTTGTTTCTTGTCGACGTTGCTCACTGCGCGGCAGGGGTAGGACGCAGCTCATGTCGCGCGCTGAACGTTTAGCCGCCAACGATATGAGATGAACGACAAGCGTCGGACGCGACGCGCTTGCTTCTTAAATTGTGGGAAGGCGGGCGGGAGTGGACGGAACCCTCTTGCTCGTCCGAGCTGGCTAACTTGATTACTATACACCCCCGCCCCCAGGCGACCGGGGGCCAACCAGGCACCATGCCGACACCATGGCCCCCCGCCCCCCGCCATCCATGCCAAAAGACCATATAAGCCGCACTCTGCCTCCGCACTTGGAGCATGCGCGGCCAACCCGATGCGGCCCCCCTCGACCACACCACCCCTGTCAGAAAACAATTCACGGTACACTTTGGGGCTAAATCTGGATCGTGCGCGGCCACCCCGCGATCACAGTCGAGTGGTTTTTGACAGGGACGGCGGGGGTGGTGGCGCGTGGCCTGCTGCGCCCAGGCCCACCAGACACAATGATGGACATCGGTTGTCGACATGGATGACGGAGGCCGGCATGTTTCCCGATGTCTGCTGTCACGTGACCAGGCACACCTGACACACTGTGCACGTGCCCCGAACGCGGCGCACCTGGCGCGGCTGCAATGTGCGGCGCACCTGGCGCAATCGGAGCACGTGGCGCGTCTGGCGCACCAGGCGTGCTTGGCACGCTCGGGCCCCAGGAATGCCTGGCGCGGGTGGCGCCTCTGGCACGCGTGGCGCACCGCGCCCAAGCGTCGCGCACTTGGGGTTGGCGCTGGTTCCCAATAGATGTCAACTAACGACGACCGCTGAACATGCTCAGGCTCGGGTGTTATTTGTCGGGGGTGAGCTGGACTGCTTGCGGGCGGGTGGGTAACTGGATAACTGCCCCTTATTCGTATGCACCCCCTGCCCCAGGCGACCGGGGGCCAACCAGGCAACATGCCGACACCATGGCCACCCGCCCCCCACCATCCCTGTCAACACAAATTCAAGCCGCACTCTGTCTCCACATGTGGAGCATGTGCGGCCAGACCGACGCGCCCCACCCCACCATCCCTGTGAAAAAAACCATGCAAAGTACACTCTGGGGCAATGTCCTGAATCATGTTCGTGTGGCCCGCGAACACTTCGCATTGTCTTTGACAAGGGCGGCAGGGGTGTCAGCATATTTCCTGGCGTGCGCAGGGCGATCACCCCTGACAAACAACAACAGAACATACACCTCATCGTGCGCGACCGTCCCGCGATCATTGTCAAGTGGTTTTTGACAGGGACGGCGGGGGTGGGGGCGCGTGGCCTGCTGTGCCCAGGCCCGCCAGGCACAATGATAGGCGTCAGTTTGGGACGCAATGGTGGCGGGGGCCGACATGCTTCCCGATGTGTGCTGTCACGCGCGCAAGCGCACCCGACGCGCTCTGCGCGTTCCCCGAACGCGGCGCACCTGGCAGGGCTGGAATGCGCGGCGCACCTGGCGCACTCGGAGCACGTGGCGCGTCTGGCGCACCAGGCGTGCCTGGCACGCTCGTGCCCCAGGAATGCCTGGCGCGCGCGGCGCCTCTGGCACGTGTGGCGCACCGCCAACGCGTCGCGCACCTGGGGTCGCCACTGGTCCCCAGTAGCTGTCAACCAAAAACGACCGCTGAACATGCCCAGGCTCGGAGTTTACTTCTGTTCGGAGCGGATGGAAGTGAGCTAAACGGTTTGCGGGCGGGTGGGTAGCTTGATAACTGTTCCTGATGAGTATACCCCCTCAAGAAACGTTCAATACATTCCAAAGTCTCCAGCGGCCCTCGTCTCTGAAACCCGTGCGGAAGATCAGGTTAACGGGGAAATCTTGGACATCCGACGAAAGCTGGGATGATCATGGCCCCGTGTTCCTCTGAAACATGGATCAATGAATATCGTTTAACCGATCATCATCCCCGCCAGCGTGCACTGGACCCCGCTGGCCGATTTATCCCCCTAGATGGGGATTTAGGAGTATATCCCAAACCATCGATGCTCTCGCCCGACCGGCGGCGGTGAGTTCCACTGCCTCTCTTCGCCGCGCTGCCGGCCGACGAACGGCGGCCCTGGTGCAGGCGCCGTGGCTATCAAGAACAAGGGGGCAGCACCGCAGCGAGAGAGCGCGTCGATCGATCCAACAGCAAACAACCACGACGGGAGGGGCCCCGAAGGGCACAAGGGAGAGCCGGGGGCCACACGAAGCAGCGAGAGACGAACGGAAGGCGGCCCAACTTCCGCAAGCGGGAGCAGGGAACGCGCCGTTCACCAACCCGCCGCAAGGAGTAGCCCCCCGATGGGGGGGAGGAGACGCCAGCGGCGGAGGAGGAGCGGGAAAGGCGAGAGGAGAGGAAGAGACGAACGACGGACGACGACGACGAACGAACAAGACGACAGCAGAACGGATCGATATTCGAATGTGCGATTTGTTATATAAAAAACGCGAATTAATTGCCCGAGCAAGCGAAAATGCGGCAGAAAGAGAGGAAAACGCGACTCGCCGAGCGTCGTCCTCCCCTGACTCTGCCGGCAAACCTGGCGCACTGGCTACCGCTCCACCCGTCGAGGGAAGCTCCGCGTGCCTCCTCAGGACTGCTCGCGCCGTCGCCCGGCGGATCGCCGCGGACAAGCGCTGGAACAAACGCGCCGCGCCCGCCCCCAGCACCTCACCTCGACCCCGATCGCTGGCCTGGGCTAGCCTGCGCAGGGTGTCGGCGCCAGTCGGGCCCAATCGCCAGAGGGTTCCGCCACGAGGGGGATGAACGCAGTCCCCTGCTGCTGGCAAAGATGGTCTGTGTCGACGTGGTTCCTCTTGACCGACTCGTACTCCTGCGCCGCGCGCCCCACCTCCTGGAACGCCAGGACACGGGCAGACTGCCTGTGCGGCGAAGACACCGCGAAGTCGAAGGCAGCAGGCGCCCCCTGGAGCCAGGAGGGATAGTAGACATCTGCAGGCTGGCGCCCATTCGCATGGGCGTCGTCTGGGCGGGGCGGTAGGAGGCCAGGCTGTTCGAGCGTCGGGTTGACTCCCGCGCTGGTGGAAATGGTGCCAAGCACGTTCTTTGCCCCGTTGTGCCGGTGGACACGATCCCGCCCCCGGCGCACAAGCCTGCGTGCCCGCTTTTGGCGGCCGCAAACGTCCTCGCAGCAAGGGCGGACGTGGTCAGTCTCGTACACGGGCATGAAGAGCCTGCGCTTGACCTCACACGCGAATTCCTCGGGCTCGAAAAGGAGCCCCAGCTGCTCGCTGGGCTGCGCCCCGAGGCGATCTGAAGCGCCTGGCAGCATCTCTGAAAAGGGTGTCAGCGCGGTCTGCCGTCCCCAAGCCAGCCAGAAACGTCTGGTACCAGCGTTCCTCCACCGCGGCGGGGAGCTGTTTCTGCGTGGCCCTGTCGAGCGCCGTAAGGTCGAAGCCCTCCCCCACGCGACCGGGGGCCAACCAGGCACCATGCCAACACCATGGCCACCCGCACCCCCATCACCGATGTCAAAAACAATGCAAGCTGTACTCTGCCTTCACATTTGAGCATGCGCGGCCAGACCGATGCCTCCCCCCGACAATCCCTGTCAAAAAACCATGCAAGGTACACTTTGGGGCAATGTCGTGAATCATGTTCGCGAGGGTCGCGAACACTTCGTAGTGTGTTTGACAAGGACGGCGGGGGTGTCAGCATATTCCATGCTGCGCGCAGGGCGACCATCCCTGCCACAAACAAATCGAACATGCACCTCGCGGCTACATCTGGCTGGACCGTACGCGGCCATCCCGCGATCACTGTCAAATGGTTTTTGGCAGCAGGGGGGGTGGCGCGTGGCCTGCTGCGCCCATGCCCACCAGGCACAATGATGGACATCGGATTTCGACACGGATGACGGGGGCCGACATGCTTCCCGATGTGTGCTGCCATGTGCGCAGGCGCACCTGACGCACGTGCCCCGAACGCGGTGCACCTAGCGCGGCTGGAGTGTGCGGCGCACCTGGCGCACTCGGAGCACGTGGCGCGTCTGGCGCACCAGGCGTGCATGCCACGCTCGGGCCCGAGGCACTCACTCGGGTGCTTCTTCTGTGTAGGGAGGCCGGGCGGGAGTGAGCTAGACAAACTGTTGGCGGGTGTGTGCGTGTGTGTTTTTGCCCATCCCCCTTACCCCCTTCCCTTGGACCTGGCTGGGGCGGGTCGCTATCATTGGTTTTAATACCATTGTGGCCCCATGTTGGCCTTTTGGCAGCGCTAAAAAAACCTCTTCGTTGATCGATGTCCTCCACTATGGCCCCAAGAGGCGCCCAGGAGGCCCCAGGAGGCCCTAAGATGGCCCCAGGATGGCCCCAAGAGGCCTCCGAGGAGGCCCCCAAGAGGACCCCAAGCGGGTCCAAGAAACCCCCCCGCGGCGCCCAAAAATCCACAAAATCGCCAAGAGACCCCCGAGAGGTCCCAAGAGGCCACCAAGAAACGTCCAACATATATCCCAAGAGACTCCGAGGAAAAAAATAAATCCAAAAATTATCCTCCTCCTGCTCCCCCTTCCTCGTGCTGTTCCTGTTTGTTCCTCCTCCTCCCCCTCCTCCTCGTCCTCGTCCTCCTCCTCGTCTTCCTCCTCCTCTTCCTCCTCGTCCTCGTCCTCCTCCCCCTCCCCCCCCCCCCCCCTCCTCCCCCTCCTCCTCCTCTCCTCCTCCTCCTCCTCCTCCTCCTCCTCCTCCTCTTCCTCCTCCTCCCCCTCCTCCTTCCCATCCCAACCGCCCTCCTTCCCCGCACTCCCTCAGGCGTCCGTCCAGGCTCCTCCTACTCCTCCGTCCTCCTTCGATGGTTCGGCTGTCCCCTCTTTGCTCCCGCAGTTCCGTGATCACCTCAAATCGCCTGGACATCGTTTTTGAATGGTCTGGTGGGGATATTTGTTTGGTTCGCGGGCTCGCGAAGCAGGTCGAAAACCGGGCAAGGCTAGTGCGTGCACCGGTGGGGATTTGTTGGTTCACAAGCGCATCGGGAAGCCAGGCGACGTCAAGAAACGCGGCTGGCTAGCAACGACCTGAATTCCGCGGTAGGAGGGGGGAGGGAAAGCAAGCGGAGGAAGAAACAGAAACGAAGAAAGAGTACACAAGAGGCGAGCTGCATTGCGGCTCAGGAGACGCGGTAGACCGCAAAGAACCACCAGTCGAGGTGCAACACCAACATGGCCAAACTCATGTTGTCCACGAGCACGAGGAAGGCGACCACGGACATGGCCCACCGCAGCGCCAGCACAGAGAAAACTGGTGGGATACGCAAAGCGTCCAGCATTTGCGAACCATGCACACTTTCATGTTTGTGGCGTCGTCCCACATGTTCCACAATGTGCCAAACTAGAACGAATATGGAGCGTTATCACCAACCACGCGCGAGCCAAACGCGCCTCACACCACGCCAAACCTGGCCCCACAACAAGCAAATGGCCAACAACTCTCGGAAGAAACGGACACAAACCGGGCAGATTGCGAGGGCCTTTCAAGCGCAATCTGCCCAGCCCGGCCACAAACCGAACCAATAACGACGAACTCTCAAACGACACAAGCCCCAAACCGGCCAGCACTACGCAAAATGCAAAGACGCATGAAGCGAAACCAGCCACAAACCGAACCAAACCAAGGGGCAACCCAAGCAGACGGTGAGGACCTCTCACACTGGGCGCGCCGCAACTGGGAGCCAAAACGGGCCGAACCAATAGCCGAATCATAGACTGCTTGAGGACCTTGCAACGGCAAGACATTGCAACGATGGGGCAAACCAGGCTCAGCCCACTCTCCTTACTAAGATTCAGAAGACAGGATTTGATAACAAAAGGGGCGCCCTCCCAATGCGCAATCATGTTTCCCAACCCTCCTGTGTTGGGTACTCGTTTGAATAGAGCAGTGTGGTCTCCACCTCCTCGTCCTCTCCTCCTCCTCCTCCTCCTCCTCCTCCTCCTCCTGCTCCTCCTCCTCCTCCTCCTCCTCCTCCTCCTCTCCCTCTTCTCTCCTGTTTCCTGTGTTCCCTTCTCCTCTTCTCGCGTGCCGCCGGGCTTGCGACCGGCGCAACTGTCGCCACTTTCGTGGGCTCCTGGGCGGCCCAGCGGCGGTGGGTCCCACGCGGACCACCTCGGGACCTCGCCGCCCCCTGGGGGGCCTCCTGCGATCTGCGCAACCGTCGCACTTTCGTGGGCTCCTGGGAGGCCCAGCGGAGATGGGTCCCACGCGGACCACCTCGGGACCTCGCCGCCCCCAAGGGGGGCTTGCTACCTGCGCAATTGTCGCTACTTTCGCGGGTTCCTGGGTGGGTCCCATGCTGACCACCTCGGGACTTCGCCGCCCCCTGGGGGCTTGCGACCGGCGCAACTGTCGCCACTTTCGTGGGCTCCTGGGAGGCCCAGCGGAGGTGGGTCCCACAAAGACCACCTCGGGACCTCGCCGACCCTTGGGGGGCTTGCGATCTGCGCAACTGTCGCCACTTTCACGGGCTCCTGGGAGGCCCAGCGGAAATACGTCATACGCGGACCACCTCGGGACTTCGCCGCTCCCTGGGGGGCTTGCGATCAGCGCAATTGTCGCCATTTTCGCGGGCTCCTGGGAGGCCCAACGGAGGTACGTCATACGCGGGCCACCTCGGGACCTCGCCAACCCTTGGGGGGCTTGCGATCTGCGCAACTGTCGTCGATTTTCCTACCGCAACCTCCTGCGTCCACTTCTGCGTGCTCCTGCTTATTCTCGCGACCGCGACCTTTTGATTCCACTTGTGGGTGCTTCTGTTTGGGTTCGCTGCCGCGCCCTTCTGTCTCCACTTCTGGATGAGTCTCCCCCCCCGTGGTGCACCTCATGCATTTGCCCCGCTCAGCGCAGCGCGCTGCTGACTTAAACTGATGTTATGTTTTAGCCCTCGCCGCCGCGCCCTTTTGTGTTCACGTTTTGGGCGCGTTTTTTTCAACGCCCCGGTGTTTCCATTTGGTGTAGTAGCCGTTCCTCTTCTTGCTGCGCTCTTCTGAACTCACTGTTGGGTGCTCTTCTTGCTCGCTGCGGGTCCTTGAGAATGCAAGTCAGCACAGAGTGGTCCTGGGTAGAACCGCCACATGTATAGAAAAGGCGGGGTACGTCACAAGGTAATGTGTCAAAACTTCGTGGAAGGGCGTCCAGACCCGCAAACCCAGCAATGCTTCCGGAACGGGGAAAAAACAACAGCATGCATGTGCATTTCGGCAACTACTTGGGCTGTCGTGAGGCGTGGAAAACATGTGTTTGAGCGTGCAGTCAACTACGCGACGTCTCTCCGAATTGTCCCCCACGCGTGCCTTGAACTACTGAAGGGGAATATATGATCAGTTAGCAATATATGGTGATAGTGGGTTTAGATTGCGGCCGTTTCTAATGAGCTGAAAACCGGTCAGCTATGGCAGTAGCAGCTTGTACTTCGTAGGCATGTAGCCATAACCGTTCTTCGCCTCAGTCATGCTCGATTCTTTCGGGTATGAAATGGCACGTTGCATGGCAAGCAGGAGGAGGAAACGAGGGGTCGGAAGGCCAGAAGGAAGGCGACCGGGAGGAGAAAAAAATATATGGAGAAACGAATCGGCCCTGGTGGGCAAGGCTAGAACGGCAGAGGGGTGAAGAGGGCAAGAGGTTTATAGTGGCTGTGTGAAGAGAGGAAGAAACAAGAAAGAAGAGGAAACAAAGAATGCGGGGAGAGAAATTGGCAGGAATAAGTGACCAGAGGTCGCGGGGAGGCGGGGGAATACACCAATGCAACGCATCGCAAGGCGCGCCCGAATCCGCCGGTGGCTGGATGGCCGGCTCGGGCCGGCCAGGGCCCTCACTCGCAGATGTGGAAGTTGTGGTCGGTGTCGTGTGTGGCGTAAGAACGTTTCTTCCAGATTGCTCCAGTGAGTTCTGTTTTGTGCTACTGCAAACCATCCTCCACTGCTAGATTAATAAACCATGTTTGATGTCAGAATTTGCGTGGGTAAATATTTCAACTGTTTCCTGCGGCCCCCGTGTCTGCGGACTACCAGCCGGCCGTCATGCATGTCGGGCTCCCGCGTCGCAGAAAGTCGCGCCCATTTGCTGCGCGGTTGACTTGCGACTCGCCCTGCCCGACGTCATTTTCGTCGAATGTGCACCGTCGTCCACGCATGTACGCGGGCCCCCTTTTCGAAAGGTCTACTGCTGCTGCGTTCGTAGCTCTGCGCACAAAATCTCCACGCGGTTCGAGGTCGGAGTCGTCGCCGCCATCAATTTGTAACTTTTTGCTGTGTTTCCACGATCTACGTGCGTCTGTGCGTCGGAGCTGTCA